GATGGTTTAAAGTGATAAAAAGAGAATATGAAGTGCAAGAGAAGAAATGCAATCAAGAATAAAAGGAAGCAAGTTTTCACAGCTTTGACATATTTTCGTATTTCGACTATAACTTGAGCTACAATAATCAGATTGAGGAGATTCTTATACCATTTGAAGCTAAGATATAGATCCACATTTGGTATGAAGACATAGAAATCCAGTTCTGTCATTTTCATTGTCAAAATGTCGAAATACAGAAGTACATTTTCATGGTCAAAAGCTGAAATAGAGCACTGACCAGTCGAGAGTATTTTCTTCATTTCTCGATCCACAGAGCTCCAAATTGGATGATTCTTGATGCATTGGAAAGCTGACTCAAAGAACTACAATTTTCGTGTTTTACACAAGAGCTAGTTCAGCCTCTAAAATCGAGAAAATATTAGTTGAAATTAGACAGAAAACAAAGCAAGTAAATCTGAGTTCGGATCTGTACTAGATCTGACCTCGGATAAACTTTTGCAATCAGAGGCTACATCCGAGGGGAGGATCTGAGCTCGGATCTCGATGTTACAGGCCTCAGATCCTAATGTGCAGTGAAGATAAAAACAAAGAAAAATGAGATCCGAGGGGTATTTTGAGCGATCCGACCTCGGATCTGGCCCTCGGATCACCAATTTCGGACCTACAACTGGTGCTCTATTCATACAAACTTTTTGACCAATTTATCTGCAAGAAATCAGGCTGGAACTGAGCAAGCTAGTATAGAGAATTCAAGAAGCATCTTTTGGTGATTCCAAAAAGCAATTTACATCAACTTTAACAACTCACTATGAGCTTGAATTCCTCTATTAATAGAAGCCTTGGAGAATATTTTCAGAATTTTGGAAGGCTAGAGAAACTCACCAAAAATGTAGCTTTTACTAGATTTTCCTTAGTTCATTGTAAGAGTAGTATAGTATAGGTAGTGTAGTTTTTCCTTCTTGTATTTGTAGTTTAGATTTGGATGAAAATTGGAGGAGCATAGATGGAGAGTTAGAGCTCATGTGACAAGGGTGATTTCTCTCCTATCACTTTCTCTTCTGTATCTGAGTTCATGTTTATCTATGGTACAAGTTTGGATTTGTGTTTTTATATGTGTTTCTAAAGTTTATGCCTAGAGTTATGGTTGAATTTGCTATATCTTGTTAGTGATGTTTATTTGGTTATGCGATGATATTATTTTGAGCAAGTTATTTATCACTTTTACTTTTCTAATTATAATTAACCGGCCATTAATTGTGATTATCTAAAGGTGTTAAGTTTGCAATGAGAATTGGAAGTTAACACTAGTTCAATGAAGTGATAAACCTGGGGAGTATACTCACGAGAGTAGAGGTGCACTCATGTGGCTTTAGTGACTTGTTTCATGTAATTTCATACAAGAAATGAGCTTGTAGTTAATTTCATAACCACGAGAGTAGGTATGGTTTAGTTATAAGTATAGTTGATTCACTACGAGAGTAGGTTTCATATACATTAGGAAATTACGCCATAACTAGCCAAGATAATAGCATTCACTTAATCAGTAACTTCATTTGCAAGAATAGTAAGGAATTCCATACCCCTAGGAGCTTTCTAGTGTTATTTTCATTACTTTTATATTGATAGTAGTCTAGATAATAAAGGAGTTCGAAAAATGCCGGTAATTGCAATTTTTCTTGTGGGATTGACCCTTAATACCCTATACTCAGCTCGTGATTCATATACTTGCGATAAATCGCGTGTGGGGTATTTAGGAATTTATAAATGTAAAACTTGATTGTGGATGAGTAAACTGTATATGTATACCCCGCGCACGTCAACAAGAACTTCCATCTTCAGTTAAAGCCATTGTAGCTTTAGACTCAACGTCGTTTTTCAATTTTAGGACACAAGTTGTAAGGGAGTAAGTACTCCTTATTTAATACTCATCGTTTGCTTCTAGAGGTAAGGTTTGGTCCCTCTCTAGAATATTGTATTTTTCTCTTCCTTTTTTAATAAAATTGGGGATGGTTTTTGTTGAAAATATATATATATATATATACACATGGTCCAAATTTTATGCTCAGGATTGATACTGATACTTTAGCCCTATATCCCTCAAGTTTTCAATGCACGTTCTTGTGCTTTATTTTCTGCCAACCAAGACTAGCTTGTAAAGGAAGATGGAGTACAATTTTTTAGATTTTTTTTTTGAGTTCATCGACTAATTGTTGACATCTCATAGCATTATTTTCTCATACCTATGATCTATTTCAATTTCCTTGACTATTTACATCATCAGAAGCAAGACATATTTAATTCACTACAGACTGCGTTTCGGCTCAGACAGTTGTTGCCAAAAGGAGGAAGCCAAGGAGGCTAGCAAATAATTAAAGTTGTGTAACTAAGTTGAGACTTTACCACGTCCAATATTTGTATTTCATAAACTTCTGGAATTTCAAAAAAAAAAAAGCCAACGATAGCCTGATACGTTGACATTTGAATCATTCTGCGGCATTTGTTTAATAATTCTTTCATCGGCTAACCTATTGCGTGCACTCTACGAATCTAATCCTAAGCAATTGAAGATAAAATATTGATAATATAGCTCTGTTTTGTAGACTCTTGAGAAGCATATCTGTTGATTCTTTCTTTCTCCAAAAAATAAAAGATTCTTTCTGTCTTTCTTTCTTATTTTAAAACACATCATAAAAGTTCATGAATGAAATTTGTATTAATGGATAAATTTACACAGATATAACAATCTGAAAACCAAGAGACACCGTATACTTGAAAAATTAATGAAATTTTCACTGTAAAATTTCAAGAATATCTATGAATCTCTCCACCCGCTGGAATACTATTCTTTTTTTTCCCGCTGGAATGCTGTTCATATGTACCAATTCTTGGATGGAGTAAATTGTTGTGAGAAGTTTGTAATTTCCCAACTTGGGCCATTCAACATAGATCAGCTTTACAGAGGTAGGTACGGCTTTGTAGTGGGATTTAATTTCTTTTCTTGTTCAGTCAAACGACTCTTTGGGATTTTGTTAATAACAATATTGACTTATGGCCGCTCAAGCAACAAGTACAATTCAAGAATATCCGTACAACAAATGAATAAGCCAGCTATTGTTGTTTTCTCATTACACAAACACAGGATTGAATTCTTTACAAAAATTAATTTAGATTTCACACGTCATTAATTTTGGTGGAGATTAATTAATTTCATAAGTGTTCTTATCATTAATTCATAAGTCTGCTATTGTCATTTTCAGGATTTGTTTTCCTTCATTGGATGGGATATGATAATTTCAGCCTGGCCATAACAATTTCAATAATTTCATAAAGTCCCACATCTACACGGAATATATATGTGGGGAAGATTGCGCGCGCGTGTGTGTGTGTATATATATATATATATATATATATATATAATGCAAAACCAACATTATTAATAAATTGGACGGAAATCGTACGGCACAATTTATTTGACCAACTCCAGGGGTAATTCCAAAAAGATTCAGTTAGATTGATAGATTTAGTGCAGTTTGCTAAAGTATGTGTAACCTTATTTGCTTCTCTAGGAATCCATTGAACATCAACATGAATTTGTTCTAATAAAACCAATCGCACATCTTCAATGTTACCTATTGTTATGAGCTGATATTCACTTCAGATAAGCATATTTTTAGTGTGTAATTTAGAATCAAAACTTTATGGAGTCAGTTAAGATGTTTCATCTTTTATTCCCAATATAGAAATTTTTTCCGATCGCATTTTATTTGTTTGGTATTCATGCTTCTTTTAGCCTATTCTTGTTTGTTGTAAATTTTGCAAAAGTTGATCATAGAATGTAATTATAGAGAAAAAAATCAGAATCAATTAATTTAAGTCCTAGGTATATTCTAGATTTTGACCTTTTTTGGTTTTTTAAAAAATTCTAAAATCTAGATGTAAAAGAAAATGAGAACGGCCCCTATAACCAAGATAATACAATCTTTTAATTACAGAATAATTATACCTATTTATGGCTTTGATTAATTTTAATTTTGTATTTATTTAGCATGTAGCCGTATTTATTATTCCTTTACATTTTCACAACTTCCAGTTTAAAAAAAATTACACTTGGGAACCTTTAATAGTGGTGGATTTAAAGTGGGGGCCCGTGCCCCACCAAAAATTCCTACAAACTCACTCTTTGAAAAAATTATGAATTTTTATAATGTGTTCCACTAATTTTAAAATTACGTGTTGCCCTATTGTTGTCAAACAATGGAAAACAAATAAAGTACATGGTCTTCGGTTTTCTATTTAACTAAACTAAAGGAAGCTAAGCCAGAGTCAATGGAAACTTTTAAAAAATAGAAAGGAAAATAAAACGATAAAATAACAAAATAACTCAGCAACAATTAGTGTCATGTTTTCACCTTTTGGATTTTCCAAAGAAAGAGTCATCTTTTCAAAATCAACACAACTTCATAATCTATTCCCTTTTACCATTTGAGAAAATTACTTTTTTTTTTTGCGTGCCACTAGACTCAAAGAATTTAAATGTGAGGGCCCAATTTAAGGTTCGTCCAAAATAACCACATTCAAATTTAATAATTACATTTTTTTCTTAAAAGGTTGGACTTCCAAAAACAAAATATTTCAAATTATGGCACATAGGGAGTGCAAGATTTTCATGGCCAATTTTTATATTTCAATTACTGTTTATTTTTTTTGTTTGTCATCGAGAATATTGGTTGTCCTTATGACTTTCTTTTTTTTTTCATCAGACTTCTTTTTTAGCATCCAATTCTTTAGCAGATTTTTTTGGTGTTTATCAGAGTCCAAACATAATAATCACATGTACTCATAACAATTTGAAATCCCAGAATGGCCCTCATACTTCGACAGAGGTAGTCCATTTATATTTAAATGAATACAAGACAGATGGTAACAGAAACACATGAATGCTGATTAAATTATCACTGAGCAGTGATGTTTCAATGATAACACAGACATGACCGTACGTTATTGGCAACTGACTGACATAGGAACAACAACTATTGCCGGCACATATGCAATTCTAGTGAATTGTTGGCCTTTATTTCATTACAAAGTACGGTGCAAATTGTAGCAAATAGTAGGCTTTCAACAATTGTAGACACAGTAGCAAGCATAATGACGATGATGACCATTGCCAGTCCAAATACATTCTCCGGAGTAAGCATGCTCTTTAGATTTGCAATAACTGTAGCACCGGTTAGGGTAACATGTCCCTGAATAGTGCTCGGCAGGCCTCTTGCAAAATTTAGCTTCAGCCATTGGCATCTCTGCATGAAACAAAGCAAAAGAGAAAGCAAAATATGTAGAGTTAGTCCGAATATATGATGGATCGAGCCTGTCCATATAGGGGATAAGTGTTTGTTAATATTATAGGGTATGGTTTCTCGAAGTCATTTTTTGTGTCAATCTCTATCTCATTTTCTATTTTTATGCCACATGTATTGTTACTTGCAACACTACACATGTATACTTGCAGTATATTCACATGTGACGAGAAATTAAAAAATGCGGGAGAAAATTCAAGAGTAGAATACAGGGCTAAACTTTGAGCAAAAACATTTATTGAAAAGCATATGGCGCATATGTAATACAAATTAATTGGCAAAATTTTGATTGTGAGTGTACATATGCATGATACATACGTATAACTATTCTAATTCATTGCCAGTGACAGCCATTTCTGTTTGAGAGGTAGAGACAAATAATTAAAACTTTGGGAATGTACAAATATACGCCATTCTGTGCATGTGTTCACCATTTAAGACTATAGAAGTGTAAACTCTCTCACTAAAGACTAGCTACAACTTACTATTTGGTACGAGGAGGAGGAAGCAGATGAGCAGGGCAAAGAAGGTTGCGCAGCTAAATTGAGATTTAGCCATCTCCGATATCTTATGTTAGCTATGCTTGTGACAAAACAAGTAAATGATGATAGCTATTTATAGCAAGAGATGGTGCAATTTTCCAAAACCTAATCGGTAGTTGTGTTGAAACTTCTTATCGCTGAATTGTTAAGAGAAAGCGACAAGTAACAAAGAATTAAGACAAAGTCTAAGTCAGAATTAGCTTATAGAAGGAGTTAAAAAAAAGCATCAACACCATTACAAGATTTGAAATTTTTAACTCCAGCAATTTCTAACTTCTTTTAGTAGAAAAGGCAACGAGCATTAGCATAATGTCACGAAGCTAAAGTCTTTAGCAGCTATGCTATGTAGAAGTGTAGAACTATAAACTCATCTAGTTGCTGGATTGTTAGTTACATCATTTTCCATCTACAATCGACGGATGCAAAAGCTCACCATTATGTCACCTACAAAATCTGTGCCTCGAGGATTAATAGTTTAAAAAAAAACCTGTGCCTTGAGAAGAATAATGCATAAATGAAAGTTCATTGTCTACAAGAAAAAGTTTTGTATGATGAATTTTCTGCTTCGTCTTCTTTTCCATTTTTCATTTCGGTACATCAACTTAGAATGTAGAAGCCACGAGGCAGAAAGGATGGCAGCACTGGAATGCTGATAATCGAGGTATTGTATGCATGATACATATACACTTTGCATATACACACACACACATATATATATATATATACACACGATGGTGTTTTGGAGAGGGTTTAGTAGATTTCTAGGTTGACAGATGGTTACAGGATGATCCTTTTTGTCAACTTTATTGTCGGCAGGACTCTCCTCAATTCCTTGTGGCAGAATTCTTTATTGGGGACAAATGGAATGAGGCAAAACATAGGCTTTGGTTACTGGAACCTATAGTGTTGCAAGTTTTGCAGGTACAGTTTGATCCGTCTAAGAAGGACTCCATGGTATGGTCTTCTTCTGCTAATGGGCTTTTTTCCGTTTCCACGGCTTGGGAGACTGTCAGGAAAAGGAAAAATATCTCTCTGGTCTCCGGGTTGATTTGGAACACCATTGTCCCTATTAAATTGTCTTTCTTTGTGTGGAGGTTGCTTCATAATCTTTTGCCTTCGGATGAGAATTTATAGCAGAATCGATTCATGTTAGTATCCAGGTATGTATTGTTGAAGATTGAAATCGAGGAACTGAACTATATCAGTAGAGGGAAGATAGAAGAAGGGGAAAAAGGGGGAGAAATGAGGAAGAACTCAGAGGAAGAAGAGAGAAAAGACAATGAGGGAGTTTGAGATATTATTGAGAGAAGAATTTTGTAACAATCAATCTGATGATTCCTCCAATTGCAGATGTAATTCTTATACAAATCCTAGCTTCTAACTCAAGTAACAGATTACTAGCAGTTAACTAACTTTCCCGCCCAATTTCTTCATTCTGTTAGGACCATGCTTGGCCACGTGATTCCTCCATGTGCCCCCCATTTCTCTTGCTACCTTCCCTGCTGACTCTTTCTGGTAGTCTGTTTAATAGCTCCATTGAATCCAGGCCATAACAATGCCTCCCCCTTAAAAACAATCCTAGTCTCTAGGATTGATTAATTTGGAAAGTAGGAAATTGAGCATGAATGAATGACCAATCTTCCCAGGTAGCCTCCTCGGGTTCTATGTTATTCCATTGCACCAGCACCTGTTCGACCTCTTGCCCCTTCCTAAAAATTGTCCCCTGGTCCAGAACTGCTGAGGGAACAACACCAAACTCACCATCATCATTCAGGGTAGGCAAGGTAGTGTTGATTTGAGCCCCCTTAGGTGACTTTTTGAGCAGGGAGACATGGAAAACAGGATGTATGTTTGATCCTGCTGGTAACTTCAACCTATAAGCTACAGTCCCCATCTTGTGCTCTACCTGATAAGGTCCATAGTACTTAGCTGCCAATTTTATATTCCTTCTTACAGCTACAGAAGTTTGTTTGTAAGGCTGAAGCTTCAAGTACGCCCATTCTCCTACTTCAAATTCCCTGTCACTCCTCCCTTTATCAGCCATTTGTTTCATCCTGTTCTGAGCCTTCAACAGGTTCTCCTTAAGCAAGGAGTTCCAGCCCACTCGTTCTTGTGCCCAATCCTCCACAGCAGCTACTAGTGTGCTATCAGGCCTCAGGTTCATCTGAATAGGCTTGTAACCATACAAGGCCTGAAAGGGAGACATTTGCAAACTATTATGATGGTTAGTGTTGTACCTGACAGGTTGTCGAATCCTGTGCAATAATAAATACCTACTCAAACTAAAAATAATTTCTGTAGATAGCGGTGAGCAAGGTCGAATCCACAAGGACTGGGAGTAATTATTTCTTTTCAAGTTCACAATGACAAGGGGGTGTTTTTGTGCAGAAAGTGACAATCAAATAAATTCAAATAAAATCTAAGAAACTACTAAAAATTAAATAACAAATTACTAAAATCAAATGAGTGATAATTAAGGATCTAGCCAAGAAATAACTTCAGCAATGGTGCACCTAATTGATCATTGAAGCAAAGGCAATTCCAATTATTTATCAATAAATAGGTTATAACTACCAAACAAGCGATGACAGTCAACCCTCCTTACTGTGTCGGTGATCAAGGTACGCCCGTTAATCACTGCTCTAATTGAGAAATAATCCTACGTACGCCCGTAGAATTTAATTCCCCAATTGCCTTACGTATTAGAGGAGCCCTATTCTAACCAAATAATGCACTACCAGGGTTATTTTAGATTAGCCCGCATATTCTCCTGACACAAACCTAATCATGCCCGTTGTTACTATTTTAGAGCAATTAAACAATTATGGATTTAATGCCCTAATTAACAATAGATTACCCAATCAACTAATTATCTGGATCCAAGACAATCAATTAATTAAATAATCACAAGCACTGCAAATAAGAAATATGCGAATACTAATAAATAAAAGAAAAAGATAAAATTAAATCGATCTCACAATTTTTAGGCGAACCAAAGCCTCCATTGTTTCTTGACTAGAAAAGAAAATTTAGTTCATCCCTGATGCGAAAAACTCGCACAAAGGTGAAGAGAAAGCAGCAGCCATCGTCTTTCGAAATTGGGAAAATTCACTTCGTTTGAGCAATCAAGGAAAACGAAAACTACAGAGGAAAGTTCAATGCTTCCCCTTTGTCCTAACATCTGAGGGAAGCAAAGTACTAAAAGACAAAAAGGAAAAGTCAAAGAAAGCAACTAAGCTCCAGGAGGAAAAATCCTCTGTTAACCCAATTCCTATCTAATGCCTACTCTCATGCCTGGCTCTGTGCGGCGGCTTCCCTCCCAAGAGGAAGGAACCCTTCAGCCGTCCTTCCTTCGCAGAATTTACCAAAATGGGCGTAACATCTTCTTTTCCAAAAATGTCCCTGGGCCAAGCTCTGTTATTTGGACTCTTTTCTTGTTAAATTGGCACTTGTTATCATATTTTCGTTCTACTCCCTGAAATAAATGCAAAATACTAAAAGTGAGTAGAATCTAACAATTAATCCACATCGGATCAGGTAATAAGGGGAATTAATAATAAAATAACTGATAAAATTACAACCTATCAATTCCCCCCACACCTAAATCATGCTTGTCCTCAAGCATGAGAACATCAAACAAGTACCAATATTTGACAATGGTCATTGCTCCATCTACCATATTGCCAAAATACCAACAAAAATATATATCAAGCATGGGTGATCAAGATCCAAGAAACACCACTTCGGTTAGCTTCTAAACCACAAACTCCTCTAATTTCATGATAACTAATCTAAGAAAAAGGAATGACACACAACATTTATTACCAAATGGTCCAACTATTAACCAAAATCTCAACATTAAATCCATAAATCGGCAAGCTGACTTTTATTATACATTAACACAACATTCACTTTTTTTTCATGTTTTTCTATTTTTCTATTCTTTTCTCTCTCTTTTTTATTCTCTTTTTTTTTTTGTTTTTCTCAATAGTAACAAAAGACTTAGTCGCTAGCCATTAGAGCCTTTTGATGCGAACTCTAACATTTGTTAGATGAAAGAGCTCGGTTACTCAGCTCCTATCGCTATACGACCACGTACTCATAGGAATTACTACCTTTTGACGCGAGAATCAACACTTTTAGGTGCAAATCCCCGGTTACTCAGTAGTAACTAATAGCGGAGTACAGTCAAGTTTATTCACAGCCAAATAATACCAAAAATTCAAAATAACACAAAAATCAAAAAGAACTTTACAGCCGCTAGCCTCATTTCCAAATATGAAGAACTAAGGTTAATAACCAGACCAATTTACATGAAAATGCTAACAATCATTCCCTATGCCTAGAAAAGTTAACCAAAAATTATAAGAGTAAAACAACCATCGATATTCACCAAAGAGATGTTTTTGGATTCAACCACATTAACTTGATACCCTTTTATTATTAAAACTTGGCAATAGCAGAATTAGAGACAACAATCCAACATCAAACTTTGGTATTTATTAAAAATAAAAAAAAATAAAAAAATAAATGAATACTAGACAAATAACAAACTAGAAATAAAAGAAGGACATCTGAAAACTAAAAACTGGCACAGCTGTCCCTTCCCCCACACCTAGATCCTACATTGTCCTCAATGGAGGAATTAAAGCAATTAAAGTGAAGAGGACAACGAAACTTCCCTCTCAAGTGGCTACGGGGTAGGCGGGAACAATGGAGGGAAACCGATGTGGTGGAAGTGCGCACCCAAGTTCTGAGACATCATAACTCAATTCAACCAGCAAATGCAAAACTCTGTCCACCCAAAATCTCAAAAAAAATGGCTCCAGTTGGCCAGTTAATGCCTTAACTTAAAATCAGCAATTTCAACAATGACAACTTAGATATTTGAAAAAAAAATAACTTAGCCAACCAAATAGAGGTACCAAATTCAATTGAAAATATTCCCACCAGTACCACTGGGGGCAAAACGTAGTCCAAAATCAATGAAATTGCTATAGCAGCGTAGAGCAGTAGTAAAGCAAAAATC